AAAATATACAATACCTCTTGCTAATAGCTAAAATGGGAAACACTATAGCAAAAGCTAAAAAGAGCAGAACATTTACTAAAGACAAAAAAAGGTAAAATAGTAGCTAAAATAACCCAACCAGTAGCCAAAACTTGAAATGAACATAACCATAGCTGAAAGCTAAAATAAGCCGACCCTTAGGCAAAAGCTAAAATTAGCAAAGTCATGTCTTAAAGCTGAAAATTAACAAAACTTGAGGTAAAATTTAGCAAAACACTAAATTTAGCAAAGCGTCTGTAAAGTTTAGAAGATGCATAATAAAGCTAAAACAAAGAGAGGGCAGCTTTCACAGAACAATGCTTCTACTGGAGGTTTCTTCCTGTTTAAAGGGAGTTTTTCTTCCCACTGTCGCCATCGTGCTGCTCAGGTGATTTGTTCCAATCAGCTGATGTAACACAGGTAACTTTTACTAATTAGCTTTTTTTTGTATAATATGTGTTTTTGTACAGACCCCTTTGATGAATTTTGCTTTGATTTGGTGCATTTTAAATAAAATAAAATAAAGAAGATGAATGAAGTAATTGAAGAGCTGTTGGTGTGAACGCTGACTCGGCGTTAATCACTTTCACCTCAGCATTCCTGAGCTTGGGTCAAAACGTGAGAAACTTAAATCAAACGATCCAAACAGGTATTTTATAAACATCTATCCTCTCTGCAGGTAAATTAGAAGTTTAGAAACCAAAAGGTAATTCTGCTCTAGAAGGCATTTTTCTGTAGAATAAACGTGTCAGAATGGGATGCTATGAGTCTTGACCACATACGGGAGGAAATCTGCAAATTCTACACTTCTCTGCCCATTCCTTAGCCCTGACCTGCATTTAAAAATACAGTCAGCAACATTTCAGCACCTCTAATGATGTGTAATCACATCGACTTTCTGCATAATGCCTTCAGCGTTGAGGAGAGACCATCACAACCCCAGATATCCTGGGACATCTTAGGCAGATGATGAAACACTTAACAGAAAATCCAATAGACAACGTGTTTTCAAGCCTCGATAAATAGACCACAGAGCACATTCATACTTTTAGTAAAAGGTCATGAATTTCCCTAATTACTTGATGATTTTCTGCTTTACCGCTTGCTAAAAATCCTGAATGGCTTTGATGGATGTTTCCCCCCTCGTGTCACGTTTGTACGCCGTCATTTTCCCTGAGAGGGAAATGAGAAAAAGACTACATCAAAGTTATTTGTGTCAGTCTTTTCGCAGCTCTTTGGAGAAGTGAAACGGTGAGCAAGGGCTGTTTGAAAACTGATACCCGTGTTTTCATTCCGCCGTGTTCTCCATGCTCTTTCAAGGCTACGGAAAAGCAAAGTAGAGAGGAATTCAAATGAAGATTCGGTCGGCTGCAGAAAATAAAAATACTTTGAGTAAATGTAACCGTGGAGATGTTTTTAAATTAGAGACTTTTAACTACACTCCAGAAAAGACAGCAGGGTTTTAGGTGTCACCAAAAAGTAAATAAATAGAGAATTTGCATTTCTTGAGAAAAAGCAATGCATAATGCTGAAAGCTGCTGAATAAACTGAAAATGTTTGAATGTGCTGAAATTAGCGCAAAGAATTTGAAAACAACAGAACCAGAACAAAAGGTGAAAAGTACAGTTAATGATTTTAACAGATTTAAAGATGTTGAAGACGTCTGCGTTCTTCTTCAATGAGACAGGAAGTGGCAAAAACGGATAAACAGCTAAAAAGTATAAGTTGCTGAAATACCAACAGTCATAGCATAAACGAGCTGAAAGTCATGATGTCATTGTTAAATTAACACAAAAATTGTAGGATGAGTTCGATGCCGAAAAATATATAGAAGAAAAATGGATCATCTGAATAATGTGAGGGTAAAGTATTTAGATGATAAATTTTAAGCTAAAGCTAAAGATCAGGCGTGTTCTGCAGTCATCAAATGAAGCTGGGTTTCTGGATTCCAGCTGTGTTTGTTTCAGCACGCAGCTTTTTTTTATATCCTTACATTTCCCATGACATTCAAAACAAAAAATAAAAAAATATAAACTGGTTTAAACTTCTTCCTTTGTGCTCTTTGTTTTGCTTCTGCCCTAAATCCATGACATTTCTTCTTCAATCCACCGGAGATTTGGAATCTTATTCTGCGGTATTTGTTGAACGAACCAGGTTTCACAAACTGCAAGGAAGAACAGAACCAGGTATAAATAAATCAGGTTTTTATTTATTTATTTTTAATTCTGTCGTGCAGTGACATCACACTGGTGGTGAAACTTTGCCACTTGTTTTCAAAGTCACAATCTCACTGGGCTGTTGAGTTCATGAAGATGAGATGCTTGAACAAATATCTCTCAAAATATTTTCAGTTTGTTTGTTTTTTAATCTGAGAGTTGAATTCTCCTCCGATAGAAAAGTCTGAGGCTAAAGACACAAATTTCTAGGACTAATAATTATTATTAAATATAAACACAGAGTTTTCCTAGTCCACACAAAAATATGCCATGACATGACACTCCAACTATACATATATACTGTGTATATAAATACTGTATATACATACA